CTTGGGTGATTGTAAAACTCTTCTGCTTTATTTTGGCTCCATTTGTATGCTCTCTTACTTCCACCCGTCTTCCCAGCTCTTCCCAACTCCCACCCTCACCCCTAAATTACCATAAATGTGCTTATTGTCTATCAGCTTAATATGGGATAAACTAACCTACAGTAAGCAGTAAATGACTTTTAAGAAGTCTCTATATTACTTTTTCCAGGCATGACTATCCTTTTTAGATATGCACCAAACCTGTATTTGACCAAATGCTGAATGACTAAACATAAAATCCTTTTTCGTAGGCATGAAGCAAAAATTGTCATCACAGTTTGAACTTCTGGAATAGAAGAATAAATCTCAAGAATTATCAGAATTTTATCATTTTAATTTTTAATTAAAAATTTTAGTGGATGCATTTGAAATATTTGACATTATAGGGTAAACACAATACTTTCTCAGTACTGTCAGCTAAGGCTTCTATACTTCTGGGATCTTCAAACATTTTCCTTGTATTCCTTAAAAGAATTTTATTAAACATGTAATATCTCACATATACCTGACATCTAAAATTTTCACCATTATCAAGATGGTAAGTGTAGTATAATACTGATATTTTAAAAATAAAATGTAATACCACTTTTTAAATGTATCCAATGAAATGTAGACACTGCAGTGATTTTTTTGCCCACCACCATTCCTGTAAAACATACATGAACACTTTTTCCCCAGTAGGAAACTTTATATCGCTCTTGTTTCTTTTTAGTCTTGTATTTTCATTCTACTTCCTCAGGTAATTTTATCCTGGAGTTGCATACTTCAACATATTTTATTGATCACCCTATTATATGTTTCTGCAACTAAAGATCATCAAAGATTATTATAAAAATATTCTTGAGCCTGTAAAGTTCTAATTAGTAATAAATGTTTTCTAGATTGCATTATCATTAAAATTATCAATATGCTATTTATAAAATTATATATATATTGACTACAACCTTAATAGATACTAAAAATGAGAACATTTTGTTCAAAAATAATTTTTTAGTGAAATAAATCATGTATTCCAGCTGGCTCCCTCAAATAAGATTGTGTATTCTTGGATGAATATTGCTTATTGCTGGATTAAAACAAGTTTCATCTATTCTCTATTTTTTCTACTCTGCTCTATTTCAGTTCTAGAATATTGCTATTCTGTTTTCTATTGTATAGATGTAAGCACTAAGAAAACCTGTTCACATAAAGAGAGAAATAGAAATATGGGACATTCTATTATAACAATGTTATCTAAATATTTAGGCTTCCATGTTATAAGCCAAAGGTCACATTATAATCATTAAAAATTACTTTCAATTATCTATCAGCTGATAAATCCTCTGTAACTTTATTGAAAGCAAAGTGCTAAACCAGGTCAATTGCAACAGGATTTGGAAATCAGCCATTATGATCATTCTTATTCTCGGTTCCTAGAAAGTATTCAATAAAGGCTTAAAAGGACTTATAAATGGCCACCAATCATTACTTTCTTACTTAAAAACACAGCTTTTACCAAATATACTCAGAAAGTTTGGAAATTTTGAAATATCATTTATTTTAATATACTTTTTCAATATAAAGCCTCATAAAAGGCTTTTATCTGATCAGAACCATAACCTGCACATTTAGTTCATTTCATTTAACGAAAGTCTCCACCAGTAACCTGACTTACAAAGCCAGTCCTTATTGTCAAAATAACCATTCAAACTGGACTTATTTCTTACAGGAAAATATGTTGCATTATTTTTAATTTCAATAAACTCACTAATATATATTCCCAGGATGACTCTCCCACGCTGCAATTCTAAGATAAAGAGTTTTGCTGGATATTTGTTACCTAGATGAAGTGAGACAGCCCTACTTTGATATTTCTTTCCATGATTTCTGCTTTATTCTTATGGAACTCTCAGAGGGAATACAACATTGACAAGAGTTGGAAAAGAGAAGAGGGGAATTTTAAATGTGAATTGTAATCATTTCCGTCACCTCTACAATATGTATGAGTACAGAAAATTTCAGAACAGGCCAAAAGAATCCATTTCTAGCATAATGTTTTTCTTATACCAGAAATTGTTTTAAGACAGATGGGTATATGATACCTACACTGGGCTTATGATGCTTTGATTAAGAGCATTTGTGCAAATATCAATATTTTGATTTGTCTTTTTGTAAGAGATAAGCAAGGTGTTTTTCGCTCCAAGATACATCTAAAATACATATTATAAGTGAAAGAGAACATTTATATTAAAATCAACTCATAAGTTATGCCATGATATTACAGCGTGATGACAGTGATTTCATATCATTAGTTACGACAATCGTAGGATTATTGATCATGCACAATTTCAGGGATCCCAGAAATGACATAGACATAAACTGAGGGCAAAGTTGACTGTACCTAAAAGATTTTAGCCAAATGTCAAAGTCAAAGATAAATGTCATAGTGCCCCAACAAATAGTATGTGTTTATCAAAAGTGATAAACCTGAAGACGTCATCACAACATCAAAAACTTCAATGAAAAAGACAAGACAAAAGCTAAGTTATGACTGTAATTATAGCAATAAATATAGGGACTAGAAGCGAAGAGATATATGTGAAAAAAGTTGACTTTGTAATTGCAAATAGTTTTGACACATTAATTGTACGGCACATTTTTCAAATGATCTAAAATAAAGCTACTTTTAAAAGGAACTCTACAAAAGACATTATTACCTTTGGACATATTTCTAAACCAACTTTATTTTCAAAGAGAGCTGTGTTTACAAAGCATTGAGCAACTTTGAGTGGGTTGAGACTGAAAGTATCCTTGCCACTGGAGTATATACTGAGGGAGGCAGAGTTGGAATCATTAGCATATGTGGAATGAAATTAATACATGTATTAGCACATAAGGGATGTGAATAGCAATACTTTTAATAAACAAAAAATTCAGGAATCTTGGTTGTAAAATTTATCTACCATATTAAAACGCTGATTAATCCTGTACGTTTTCTCTCCTTGTGAATACTTGGGCTGGCAGAGAACAGGCGGGAAAAATCAGGAGATTACAGACCATATTTCCATCCTTCAAGTACTTCCCTGCATGGATACTGAGAGGCAGAACAAATGATAAAAAGAATATGATGAATGTGCTTTTTGTCTTATTAGAAAGACTTACACTTAATATGACACTATATTAATGTTCAGAGATTAGGCCAGTGGGCTTGTCAACTGAGCTGTAATTCCACCAATCTGCTTTAGTCAATACTGCAATCGTGCTTCCTTCTATACACATTATTAAAAACTGCCCTAGTGGCAAAATAATCTTCTACCAGCCCAGTCTTCTTTTTTTATACTAGAATTAAAATTTTTATTCATTAAAAACATTATTAGGAGAGTGAAAGGAAAAGCCATAGAGAAGAAAGAGAGATTTTCTGTATATATAATTGACAAGTGCTTATACCCAGAATATATTGAAGACTTCCAGAAATAAATTAGAAAAAGACCTAGCACCTTACACAAAAGAATATCCAAATAGCTAATAAACATATGAAAAGTTACTTGGTCTCCAGAGAAATGAAAATTAATACCACAATGAAATCCTCTACATATCCTCCAAAATGTTTAAAGTTAAGATTCATAATGCCAAGTTTTAGTGGGGATGTGGAGCAACTGAATCTCTTATCCAATTGCGAAAATGAATCATCACTATCTACTAGAATCCACCATCCACATGACCTCTGTCCCAGCAATTTTTACCGCTACATAAATACCCAGGAGAGTGACAATGTGCAAAAAGTCACGCGTAAGAACATTTGCAGTTGCATTATTTATAACAGCTCCAAATTGAAACAACTCAAATGTCTCACAATACGATATGTAAATTGTGGCATATTCGTACAATTATAACCATATAGTGTTTTTCAATGAAATGGAATAATGTTAACTGCATCAGCATCAATGAATCCCACGAATATAGAACAAAAGATGCCCCCCCCCCACACACACACGTATACACAAACACATTACAAATCATATAATTCTATTTACAGAAACACCGGTGTGTTCATTCTAAGTCATTCCAGACTAGTCTTCTTTCTTGCTCTTAGTGAATCATCAATGGAAGTTTTGCTCAGGAGAATGAAATGTTCCATACCTGTACATACAAACCCCGGGATCCCCTGATGAATCTTCTACCTTCACCACCTCAGTCATACTGAGCTCCTTGCTATTCTTTGGCAGTTGAGAATCTTTCTATTTGACTTGAAGCCTTCACACCGTTTATCATCTTCTCCTGTATTGTTCTTCTGCAGATGTTCTGATAGCTAACTTCCTCGCTACCTTAAACCTTTGCTCATCTGTCAGCTTCTCAATGAGGTCTACCCTGATCACAGCACTTAAAATTGCAAAATCTAACTCCCAATCTTATGGTACTCTTGATCTCCCTGGCTGTGCCTTTTTAAAAATAACACTTGTCATTTTATGACATGTTATATAATGAACTTAGTTATATTTCTTGTTTATTGCCTGTCTCTCCTCTCTGGAACATAAGGCAGAGATGTCTTGTTTTTCACTGTTTCTTCTTATTGAGAAGCACATCCACTAATAACAAGCATTCAATAATTATTTGTTGAATAAATAAATGAAAAATATTATGTGCCCATGAGACACGACACTTGCTTTTTCTCTCTTAAAAGTATATGAAAAGATCAATGGATAAATCGAATTGTATGCATATATTTAATATAGAATGAAGCAATAATATTTCAAGGAGAATGAGTTAAGAATAACTTCAGATGATGTGAAGTCAGTCTTTGTACAAGCAATCATGTAACAGAGTCAATTATATAGTTTTATCAGCAGATCACTGGACCTTCTCTTTTATTAGTGACATAGATGAATATATATATACACACACACACACACATATATAGTCTTTAAAATCATTAAAAATATTGATTAATGTAAGAAAGAAAGAATGAGGTTCTCATTTACATCCTTCTAGTTTATTATTATTTCTTGAGAAAATATTGCTGGGTTGATTACAAAATGGTGCCTGTGGTTGTGCAGAAGAGGGCTTTGCACAGTACTGATGAGGCCAAGGCTGCCGTGAGCTAACTTGCATTTTTCTATCAGCCGAGGGTGTGGTGATAGCTGAGAACAGAAAGATTGTGAGTTAGCTGAGCAAGAAGGCTACCTGTCCCAGACCAAAAAGAAAGGCAGACACATAGCTTATCTGCTGTTTTCTCTTTGCTTTCCTGTACTCCTGCCAGCCTGACCCTTTCTCTTCAGTTAGGACTCCACAGATAGCATTAAAATAAGAATTCTTCTTTTACCAAGGACCTGCCAACATGGGGCACGTTCACACCAAAACTGTGAAGAAGGTGGCCCGGGTCATCACACAAAAGTATTACATGTGCGTAGGTAACAACTTCCACAGAAACAAGTGCGTGTGTGAGGAGATGGCCATTGTCCCCAGCAAGAAGCTCCGTAATAACATAGCAGCCTGTGTCAAGCATCTGATGAAGCGGATGCAGACAGGCCCATTGAGAGGTGTTTCCATTAAGCTTCAGGAGAAGGAGAGAGAAAGGAGAGACAATTATGTTCCCAAGGTCTCAGCCCCGAATCAGATCATTGAAGTAGATCCTGACACTGAGGAAATGCTGAAGCTTTTGGACTGTGGCAGTCCATCCCACCTGCCGATCACTCAGTCTACAGTTGGAATGAATTTCAAAATGCCCCTGGGGGCTGTTTGATTCTTTCTGCAATGCTGTAATGTTTTCAATAAATGTGGCACCATAACAAAAAATAAAGATTTTGTAAGATCATAAAAATCTATTTTGAGTCCGTGTAGCGTTTACCATAGCCGGTGAATGATCAGAGAATTAAAAGCCAACTAAAGGTTATTGAAAGTGGTAAACATGTTTACATTTTCATGATTGATTTTGCAATAAAATGAGGGCACATAATAGCAGTAGTTTATAGTACTATAGCACTCCTTGGAACCTGCCTTTTTGTAGGAAAAAATGTGAATTTGAGAGAGGTTAATCTGCAATTTACTAAGAAGAGAAAATTCATACATTTTTAAGGCACAACTAAGAGGAACAATAAGGTTATTATTTTGAGAGAACAGTGCCCATTTTTGAAAATCTAAAAGGGATCTTTAAGTTCCCCAGATGATATAGGAGCTCCAAGGTAAAGGGAAGGATAGGTGTTGGGAGAAAAAGCAATAGACATGGTTGTATGTCCCCCTCCCAACTAGACCCGAGCATGGGTCAAGGTACACTATGGTAAGCACGTCTTTTGGGAGTGTGAAAAATCCAGAAACAGAACCATTAAAATAATAAAACTTCAGTTTAAAATAAAATAAACCTGCCTCAAAATAGAATTACTGATGTAGATAGATATGCACTGAATGTAGAATGGTAATGAGTTAAAACATCCTACCAAATGGTAAAAGTATTCTTAGGCATAAAAATGTCACATTTTGCTTTTAAATTGAAAGTTCATCTTTTGGGGGTAGAAGAGAAAAGACTTGGGAGGAGTTAGATATGTGGAAAAAGTGATTAGTGGGGTCTCCCTCAAACAGGTGCAGGAATTTGCCATGGGTCGGAACAGAAATAAATCATATTCTGCAGTGGAAATCCAAAAATAAATAAACACACATTTCAGATTGCTGTTTTTGATTGAGCATGAACAAAAGCCTGTTATAGACAGACAAGTAAATGCAATTTAAGTAAGACATTTCGAAACGAAATTGCATTAGAGACTGTTTCTTACAGGGTCTCGCATTCTTACCAGTAACTTTAACCTTATCAATATATGTTTTTTTAATTCTGAAGAGTGAGAAAAATATGAAGTATTTCAAAGGAAACACTAAGATTTTCTCAGAATTACAGAACCATTAAGCCTCTGCTGATTGAATTAATTCCATGTTTATGTTGGTGAGGCCACAGGACTTGGTTGGGTGAAGTAACCTAAGCCCCTCTCATCTCCTTCCAGGACCCCGTGTCCTGCATCAGTTTTATTGTGTCAGCCCACCCCTGCCTCCCACTCCCAAACACCTAACTGTTATTCCAGGAGTAAACAGCAGAGTCAGTGGCTGCTGGGATATGCATATTAGAAAAAAACTGAAAAAGAGATTGATAAACTATTTTGAGCCTTTATTCCTTGCCAAACATTAGTCTAGGCTTTTTCAGGTCTTGCCTTGGGAGCTGAAAGTAAGGAAGACTTTACAATTCCTCTGTTCTAAGATTGACTGCAGGGGTGATGGGAGGATGCTGGGGGAATTCTTGCAAAGAATGATTTTTACCTCTCAGTAATACTATAACAATATATGATTTGATTAAATGAATAACTTTTTTTTTTTTTTTGAGACCGAGTCTCACTCTGTCGCCCAGGCTGGAGTGCAGTGACATGATCTCGGCTCACTGCAACCTCCAGCTCCTGGGTTCAAGGGATTCTCCTGCCTCTGCCTCCCGAGTAGCTGGGACCACAGGCGTGCACCACCACACCCGGCTAATTTTTGTATTTTTAATGAAGATGGGGTTTCACCATGTTGGCCAGGCTGGTCTCAAACTCCTGACCTCAGGTGATCCACCCACCTCAGCCTCCCAGAGTGCTGGGATTACAGGCATGAGCCATCGCACCTGACCTCATAAACTATTTTCTAAAAGAAATCCTGTTCTGGTAACAAAGAATGGTTACTTCCCAAGTTTGCAGTGACTGTTTTTTTTTTGTTGTTGTTGTTTACGAAACTTGTTTACATTATAGTTTACTCTCTGTGTGTTTATCCTTTAGGAAAGTTAATGAAAATTACAAGTCTCTGAAAGATCTGGAGTTACTAAGAATTGAGGAAAGTTTTAGTAAGAGTTTTGTATCATTTCCTAATTAGGAGTGACTTCCTTCTCAGAACAAATTGAAGTTTAATATTTTTCATCCCAGTGGGGTGAAAAATTTACAGACACCAAGACACAAAAATCAAAAGATTTTACAAATGTTTATTTTGCCTTCTGAACAGATTGCCAAAATAACATTTAATATCACCGGGATTGAAATGTCTTTCAATTCTGACCAAAGATGGAGAACTTCATTCAAGCAACCTTCAGGCACAATGTAGCAAATTGCCCTTTCATGCAGGGTTTTCAGGAGTCAGCGGAGACACCGTCTCTGGTTGATTTCTCTGTAGGATCTGTGGCTAATCTTATTCCTCCAAAACACAAACACACACAAAAACCCTTGCTGAGAAAGACAGACTGTCACTTGACAGAGTAAAAACAAATCCATAGGGATTTATCAAAAAATTTGTAGTCACCAACATAATGCGAAACTTATATGTTCTTCCTCAAATCCAAAGGCTAAGCTGAAAAAAACACATAGTTGGAAGACAGCAGTTCTTTTTTTGCTATCGTCTCAATATCATTATACTTAATATTTGGCACCACAAAAAAAAATCTTCCTAAATTTTAGGTGCAGGATAAGTATGACCGTACATGGACACTAGAATCTTCAGGGAAAATTCAGTTATCCTGGGATTCTATAAACATGACTGTCTCATAAATGGGCTTCAGGGATTATAAGAACCCCTAGAGATTGTATGCACTCACATAAAAATGAGAACGTGAATCTTCATGGTCAAAGAGTCTGAAGCTTTCATCAGATTTTCAGGAGTGATATAGTTGGATGTCCCCTCCAAATCTCATGTCAAGGTGCAATCCCCAGCGTTGAAGGTGGGGCCTGGTGGGAGGTGTTTGGGTCATGGGGGTGATCCCTCATGGTTTGGTGCTGTCCTGGACATAGTGAGTTCTTAGGAGATCTGGTTGTTCAAACGTGTGTAGCACCTTCCCCTGCAACCTCTTGCTCCTGCGCTGGCTGTGTGATGTGCCTGTTCCCACTCTGCCTTCCACTATGAGTAGAAGTTCCCTGAGGCCCCTCCAGAAGCTGAGAAGATGCTGGCACCGTGCTTGTACAGCCTGCAGAACCATGAGCCAATTAAAGCTTTTTAAAAATAAATTACCCAGCCTCAGATATTTCTTTATAGGTGGAAAGAATGGCATAATATAAGGGGTCTATGGGAGCCAAACAAACCTGACCTAATTACTTGATTCACATTGATTGAACTTATACTGATTTAATTTGTGTTCCTTTAGAAAGCTAAAAATTGTGGTGAAAGTCTTCTTTTTGCGGTTTCAGAAATTGTATTAGTCTGTTATCACGTTGCTATAAAGAAATATTAGGTTGTTGCAAAAGTAGTCGCGATTTTTGCCATTACTTTTAATGGCAAAAACTGCAATTACTTTTTTTTTTTTTTTTTTTTTTTGAGATGGAGTCTTGCTCTGTTGCTTGGGCTGGAGTGCAGTGCCAGGAGCTCAGCTCACTGCAACCTCCGCCTCCTGGGTTCAAACCATTCTCCTACCTCAGCCTCCCAAGTAGCTGGGATTACAGGCGCCTGCCACCATGTTCGGCTAATTCTTTGTATTTTTAGTAGAGATGGGGCTTCACTATGTTGGCCAGGCTGGTCTCAAACTCCTGACCTCAGGTGATCCACCTACCTTTGCCTCCCAAAATGCTGGAATTATAGGCATGAGCCACCACACCCCACCTGCGATTACTTTTGCACCAACCTAATACCTGAGACTGAGTAATTTATAAAGAAAAGATGTTTAATTAGCTCATGGTTCCACAGGCTGTACAGCAAGCATAGTGGCTTCAGCTTCTGGAAAGGCCTCAGGAAGCTTCCAATCATGACAGAAAGCAAAGAGAGTGTGGTTTATCACATGGTGGCAGTAGGAACAAGAAATGGAGTGGGGAAGTGCTAAACACTTCTAAACAACCAGATCTCACAAGAACTCACTGTCGCAAAATCAGCAGCAATCAGGACCAAGGGGGATGGTGCTAAAAACCATTCGTGAGAAACCACCTCCATGATCATCAAATCATCTCCCACTAGGCCCTACCTCCAACACTGGGGATTCCAATTTGACATGAGATGTGTTGGGGACACAGATCCAAACCATATCAGAAATGGAGTGCTTGCCATCTAAAGCAAGTAATCATTTATCCCCAGGAGTTAGACATAAATTGGATTAGCAAAAAACTGTTATCGAGGTTGCGTAATTCTTTTAGGCAAACAAGCATTGTCCAGGTGCTAAAAGAGAAATTCACATTGCACAAAGAAAATGCTGGTGACTCCATGTTCAGGGCTCACTGTAGACTAAGGAAATGTTGCCTAAAGGAACTGTCAGTGGCTTGAACTTCTTTTTTATTTAATAGCTGTGTGGGCTCTAGAAAATTACATATACTTGTAAATTTACTTGTGAATAGTATGGTAGTATAAGGACAAAATATAGATTCACTGCTGTAGTAGCATTACAGTGGCATTGGGGCAAAACTATAAACCATGGCGCTCCCTTCAGCTTGATTTCAATAACCTAATTGTTTGTGAACATTTCAACTGAAGTCCACTGGATACCCTTTAAGCCTGCAGGGATAATCATAGCCTTACTTGCACTTCTTCTCGGAGTCAATATTTAGAGAAAAGAGGCACACACCAGATTTAGTCGTATACTATGTCCAATAAATGAAAATTGCTTCTTTATGTTCAAAAATTGCACAGTAATAAAAATCTGAATTTGGTTTTCTAGAATCATTCACTGGATGTTAATTTGAACATACTCTCAACAGGAGATATCGCCCACAGAAGTGTCCTTTTCACAGCATTATCTGATGTGGTTTGGACCCACGTCGCCATCCACAT